ATATATATATATATATATATATATATATATATATATATATATATATATATATATATATATTTATTTATTTATTTAAATTTTTTTTGAGCATATAATTTTTAATCAAAATGTCAAAACTCAATCATCTGGTGAAACGACAGACTTCTCTCTGGTGACATATGCTGTTTTCTTTTTTCAATCATTTAGACCACTTAAACCCGCCCCCTTCTTATATTCAACTGCAAGTATGCATTCAGATCTGCCACCATCCACTCAACAACCAATGCATAGAACCAAGTCCCTGGCCTACATTCGATAATCTGTTTCACGTGGATGTTTGTCAAAATAACCACAGAAAAGATCTGTCGCTACTTCCAATACACTGTGACTTTAAAAATGCGATTGTATCATTTAGTGAACTTCCTAGCATTTCATAATTGGCAAGCAATGCCCAAATCTTCAGCTGTATGATTTTCTTCTAGTTTTTGGGTTAATGGGAAAATATTGATCACGTACAACTTTTGCAAAACATCAAACAAAACGCAGTTCATTGAGACTTCAGAACTTGAATGTAGTGTTTCAATCACATTTCAGTCAGAGTTTCAGAGAGAACAGTGATGAATCTGAAGATCAAAGGTTATACCCAGTACTGATTGTTTCGCAGAGTGGGGTTGGTGGTCCTGCAAAGCTGTGAAACGTCAGGCTCCAGGTCTCCAAAAGAGCACAGAGACACAGAGGTGCCATATGGCGAGTTCTCACTTCTGCTTTGCAGTCTGGTTATGGCTGAACTTCCAGCGTTTATTGGAGTAAGAGGAGTGACGGTTACGACGGGGACACTTGCAGGCCACTGTGGCTGGTCCTGATGGGATGGGTTGTCCGGTTGAGCAGGAGCACCTGACGTACTCTTTAAAGGCTTTGGTTTCTTCTTCCAGTTCCGTCTTAAGAGCAGCACCAACACGACCACAATGATGACCAGCAGCAGAAGAGCAAGAAGAGGCAAAAGGATGATCATTGAGTTTGAGGAAGAGCCCGTCTGGGAAACCGACTCTACTTTTACTGGGGTATTATTTATGGGATAAATCTCCTCCACCCCATGGGTTGGTTTTAGGTTAGTAGTACCCATGTCAATGCTGTTTGAATTATCCCAACGGTTGCGACCTTTGAATCTTGACCCAGATTTGGTCACCCGTTGTGTCGGCTGCACAGGTGAAGATGTTGAAGATGGAAACAAGCTCATTGCAGCAGTTTGGTTATGAAAACCAGGTCTGATTGTGGTCACTGGGATCACTGTTGACATCTCCAGAGTGGGAACATGAGCTACGATGCTGAAAGTGAAAATCCCATTGGCAGGTTGGACGTTGTTGGCTTTAAGAACGAATCTGAAAGAATCATTTACTTCACGGACACCTGTCAGGTTCGCCTTCAACTCAATGGCCAGTTTCTCCTGCTGTAGTTCACTTAAAGTGAAAGACCCCACAGATTCGACTTTCTTTCCCTTGATGCCAATTGCCCGGACAATCCTGCCGTTCTCCGGAGGTGAGGTAATTTCAAACAACGGGTCACTACCACTCAACAAAGCAAGTTCGGACACATTCAGCAAATGTGACTTCAGCTTAATTCGAACTCCGTTAGCAAATGTTACCCCTTCTGCGTACTTAATGAGGGGTTTCACCGTGATGTTAACTACTTGGTCAGTTAGATTCGCTTCTGTTGTGAAAGCCGCAAACTCAAAGTTATCATGGGACGACTCAAGGCTGACCATGTGGTACCTCAGATTTTCCTTCTGGAGATCATCTTGATTGAAAACTGTGACGTCTTCATTGTCTATTAAGAGTTTACCGTACCTTGGTGGTACTGTGATTTTATAGTGCACTGTAGTGTTTTTACCATTGGTCACTGCGGCCAGGTGTGACCGTCTGAGAGTTACAGAAGTGTGTCCCTGGTCCAGTAGCACCTCTGTGTTGTTAGCCAGTGAAACAGTGATCTCTACCACTTCCAGATTGAAGAGTTTATATAACGGTCGATGATGGCCGTCGGTGACGCTGAAGTAGAATGCTCCAGATGATGGACTGCCATCGTGGATGAAGAACACCTCTCCATTATTGATTTGAGCCTGGGAGAAGGAGTCCACCGACTCGTTCATGCGCTTTGTAATGGCTAGGAAACCATTGTTAGGTTTGCTAATCACTGTGTACTGGATTTCACTTGGTGGGTTGTCCAGGTCAACCACACTTAAGTGGTTGGGTCCGATAGCCACGGAGTCTCCCTGAATGACTTTGAGGCTGGGAGCTTTGGTCTTCAAAACAGGTGGGTGATCATTTATGGGGATTATAGTAATGTTGAATGATTCTGACACAACAGAATCTAGGGGGCGGGTTGGTGGTTTGCTCTTTAGGTTCAGATACACATCAAAGTCAAAACGGTCATGGGTGGTCTCGGAGTTGTCGTGATGGTATGTGATTCCATACTTATTAAGGATGAACTGAGAGAAATTGGGCTTTTCTTTTGTAAGATTTCGTTCCCCAATGATGATGACGCCATGCTTTGGAAGAGATGTGACCTGGTACCAAACCTCATAAGAGCTGCGCTTGGATTCAGGTTGTTTCGTCATGAGATTGGATGCATCCAGCATCGATTTGCCAATTAGAACTTTATCTCCTTCAGTTACCGTCACACCTGGATATAAATAAAAAAAAACAATGTGATACATTTTATTTGACAAAAGCCATGACACTTCAGTCAGAATGACAGATTTAAAGTATATTTGGCTATTTTTACAATATTACCTTTTAAATTCTTAACATTTTAAAGCTTTCACATGTCCATTCAACATTAATCATAATCAGGGTGCGAACTACGGGGGAGCTAGGGGGGAGCTCGGCTCCCCTTAATAAGACATGGGCTCCCCTGAAAACGTGATTTGTGGAATTTTGGGGGGTCTCAAAAAATATTGACAATGTGTTATTTTGACGTGCAATTTCAGTTTTGTGTAATGTGATCATCGTGGATTATTATGTGTAAAATTGCAAAAATATCATTCATTCATGCATGACGGCGATTTAAACCTAATTCACTTCAATAAAAATAACTATACATGCTATTCTTGTCATGAGCATCAAGGTGTGGGGGCGCTGCGGTGCAAATTCCACTCATGTTTAGTACATGTTAACTCAAAGATTCGTAGAAAAAATATAAACGTTGGACTCTGTGGTCGATTCTGTGTTAAGGTAAGTAAGGCATGTTATTTGCAATTATGTGTTGTGGCTGGGTTGTTATAGGTCTGCGTGACTCTCGATGTCTTAGGTCTAACTGAACGGGGGAATTATGGTATTCTTCTGTAGCCTTACGACGAGTAACTTTACGTTAACCGTTGTTCATGTGAACTCAAAGACAGCCTGATCCTTTGTATATAGACTATTTGTGGGTGGCTGTTTGTTGTTTCACCTATCAATTTGTGTCGATAAAGTATAATAGGGTAAATCCTGTATAGTGATTTATCCTATATAGTGCTTGCATAAAGCAAGTAGTGCATACACTTGTAGCTGTCATGTATCTTTGTAAGACATTGTAAGCCCTCTTTTGAGGTAAGCGAAAGCGCACGAACCCCCCCGTTATAAAAAAAACAAACAAGTGGGCTCTCCCATCCGTCCACGGTATAGTTCGAACACTGATCATAATGAAAATACATATTCAATTCACAGCTACATATGCAAATGTTCAAAATCTTGAAAAAAAATGTATCATGGTTTCCACAAAATATTTAAGAAATGTTTCTTGCGATTCAAACTGGCATATTAGAATGACTTCTTAAGGACCATGTGACACTGAAAACTGGAGTAATGACAGCTGAAGATTCAACTTTGGAATAAAAGAATAAATATCATTAAAAAACATATTACAACAGAAAACAGTTGTGAAAAATACAATAAAACTGTAATATTGTGAAATATTACAACTGAATAATATTTCACAATATTATTATTTTATTGCATTTTTTTAATACAACATTACTTGACTGTAAACTAGATAATACAAATTGTTTTGTACATTTTTCATACTGTACCTTTATTTTTGAGGAGCACGGAACTTTGTTCAGGTCCAATATTTTCGTATGAAATGTCAATTTCAAACGTCTGGGGATCAAGCGTAGCAGGTGGAGAGGACACAGTAAATATGAACTTGTCTAGCGCCGCCCATCCTAAAGACGTCCCATGAATTTGATGATATGCTACTTCACCCTCATCCACCTGTGATGATTCAAGTTACATGAGTTACTAAAATATAAAACATGAAATAAAACAAAACACTGAAAAAAACAACACATGCCCCCCAAATCCCCCAAAAAAGTGTAAAACATGACTGTAAAAATATATTTCCTGAAATGTAACATTTCATTCTTAGTATTACTCTCTTTCTGCATATCAACATTGTGTCATCCTATGTTTGAATGATCATTAGCAGCAATTCCGCATTAGCAGCCATTTGTGCTGGCTAACTAGGACATGTTACATTTAGCTTGCAAACATGACAGGCTCTCTGATTATGCTCATAGTTAAAATAAATTCATAATTCATTACCCTGCACTCTGATATGCATGGCACTGACTTGGGAAAAAGAAGTTGGCAACACTCACCATTTGTTGTGTGAAGGATAAAATATCAGTCGTGGTCTTATCTGCCTTCAAACTGACTAGTTTTCCAAATTTTGGGGGATTGATCACAGTAAAATAAATGGTTCTGTTTGAGAGGCCGGTATCATCATTGGTAACGGCCTGAAGAATGTTGTTTGAAATCAAGGATAAGAAACCTAGAAAAAAACACACCATAAGAATAGTCCTGAAAACTGACAAAAGAACACAAAGGTCTGGTACAGACTATAAACAAAACAACATTGTCTGGTGTATAGTAGCTCATGTGCTTTGAAATGTGAATGTTAAGCTTTTTTTGCGGTGAGGTTTAATAGAAGTGCATCTGAACCATAAATTACAACCACAAACAAATTGGCAAGCTATATTTGCTTCAAACGTGTAAACACGGTCAAAGATTGAGGGTAGGCAAGCATTTCAAGATCCTGTTTCAGATCACTTTTAGGTTGAAGCACATTAGAGTGACTGAACTCGAAGAACTTCAAGCTATATGCCAGGAAGGATTTTGCTAAAATAATCTACCGATTTCTTTCATGACCTTAACTGAAGGTCATAGTTTCTGTATTCAGAGTTTTCTGTTGTGTCTATCTACTTGAAAGAGGCCCTGGCGACTCTCTCAGCACAAAGGCCACAAGAATAGCTTGACAGGAAGCATTTGTTAAACACATGGACACAAAGCAACAGAATAATGGTCAAACTTTCTGTTGATTTCTTATCACTTATTTGTTTAATAGTGTTCCAGGTTCCTACCCATGTTAAAAATGAATTAGAAATAAAGCAATCAAATAAACTAAAAAAGTAACATTAGATGGAAAGGGGAAATAAGAATAATGGGACTCCAGGCACAAATAAATTCAGTTTGTTTATCTGTTATTAAACGTAACAGATAAAAACTTTTTCAGATGCTATCTTTTAGTTTAGTGTTTCTAGAGCCATTTATAAAATTGAAATCAGATGCAGCAGCTGTTGTTTTCCCAGACAAAGCCATTTTTCTAACTCTGGTTTTAAATGTGACATGTGACTAAGTGTTTCTAAAATTAAGAAAATGACTGTAGTCTAATAACTTTAGGGACTTTTTAGAGTGACTCGTTCAGTGTTCAAATGCTCTCCACTGAGCTTTTTATAGTATAGCCCGACAGTTAAAGTCGTTTTGTTATTACATGGATCGCTTGCTCTAAGATTAAGAAACCATGAAACACTTGATGTTCAGACAGAGACTTAGTGAGTGGATGGAGACAGAGCGGAAAGGAGGCGTCAATCTGGTGCTCTGACTTGGCATGCGAGGCAGCCAGATGCTGACCTCACTGCTGTAACATGACATGCTATTTAACTCCATAAAAAGAGATGGAAAGCACAATGTTTTCTGAAACTTATGCAAACTAAGATTGCATACAAAATGAAGACTTTTTTTGGACAGAGATCTAAAATGCTGTCTCTACAATGATTTTTGATAACATCTAATATTTCCTTATAGGTAATCTGTGTGTTGCAGAATATACCAGGTTACTGCTGAAGTTCTCCTCATGTTAATCAGCATTACCTGGAAACACCTTAAGAGGTCCAGCCTTCTCTAGATTAAGAACCAGGGCACGAGCTGTAATACTGAATATCTGCCTGGGAGCAAAGTTCACACCATCGTTTACTTGGAAGTTGAAGCCTCCTGCCATCGGCCCTGAGAAGTAAAAGAGAGCAATCATTATAATCTCCAGGAATTTAGTTTACAATGCACTGCAACTTCAGAAAACATTTTTATGTGATATCACGTTACTTACTTTACATAAAAATGTTGCAAGAAATAAATTAATGAAACAAATAAAAAATAATAAACAGCATTTTTTAAAATAATATATTTGGTACAAATACAGTTTACTAACTTAGACACATCATTATTAAAAGTTAAAACTCAATCTTTACAGCTTTCATAATTTGATTTATGTTTCAGAACTGAATCCGTTGGATGAAGTATACCATGTCCAAACTGCATGACAAACTAATTATTCCATGCCACTGTTGCACTCAAACCTATTTTCAACTAAAAAGGACAGCAAACATAGGAGGAACAGTGGTGTGCTGTGATTTAATGCACAACACTGACATCTAGTGGTTAAACATGACAAACTGTTGCACAGATCAGAGAAGAAGTTTATATATAGTAATCTCACCCTGAGAACCCTGTTGGCTGTAATGGCTGGAGGCTCGTCATTGACGGCTGTGATCTGGACATACACAGTCCATGGTGCACTGTGTTTTCGCAGGTCTGTGTCATTTGCTGTGATAGTGAAGTGGTCCTCTGAGGTCTCTGTGTTGTCATGGACATAATAAATAAACTCCTGTTCCACCTGCCAAGTAAGAACAACAAAATATAAATATCTATATAAACATACATTAAAAAAATCTTATATAGAAATAAAATACAAAACAAAGTACACCTAACTATTTGAGTGATTGCTCATGCCTTTCCATATTCCATTTTTTTTTTAATAATTTTTTTTTAAATTGGGAAAACGTTACCTGCTTCCTTGTAAAGTAGGTTGTAGGAATCCCTCTGAAACGTGAATTCTCAATGCGGCCATGCAGAGGACCCTCTGACACGTAGTACACAAAATTGAGGCCTGAGAAATGTGGGTTTGTTACTCTGATAACGTCCTCTGTGAGAGCTTTAGATGCCCCTTCCTTCAGAGTGATATTGGACACCTCAATGGGTATGAGGCGTGGGATGATATCCACAGACATGATGATGTCATTGACCTCTGCGACTCCATTGCTGGCCGCCAGAGTGAATGAATCCCTCTCTTGGCCAGGTGCCACCTGTACATACTGAATGTTGCCAGCATTAACATCCCGCTGGGAAAAGGTCACTAATGGGTCCTCTTGTGTTCCTTGGTACTGATCTTTACCCTCAATAAAACAGCGTAAATATCCATAAGATGGAGCAACTTTGACAGTAAAGGTTATTTCTGAAGCTGAACTAGCCTCATGAGTCACCTGAAAAGAAACAGAAATAGTAGGCCCTATTTTATTTTTGAATCTTGCATTCAGTGTTGAGGAGCAACTAACTAAAAGTAGGGATGCTACAAACTTAACTCCATTTTCATTTTCAGTGGATTTTTTTGCTTTTTCTAGTAACAAGCTACTTTTTTCCAACAAGTAGCAGTGAAATGGCTTCTCTGGCTTAATTTGGGAATAACATTATCATAGTATTTAAGTATGCTAGTCTGAATTTAGCTTCTCTCGTGGTGTCAGAAAGTCAGGTTCATTCAGGTTAATCGGTTCATCCTAAATGGTCCCAAACGTAGTACGGGAAAGTCGTATTCTTAAGAAAATAAAAATAAAAAGTGAATCGTTCTATCTAATGAATCAGTTTGTTCAAATGGTTCTTCAGATGGTTATGATGTTTAACTACTTCAAATAATGATAAGCTTGTAGTTTGGTAAATGACAGTTCTCAATAAAACAGCGTAAATATCCATAAGATGGAGCAACTTTGACAGTAAAGGTTATTTCTGAAGCTGAACTAGCCTCATGAGTCACCTGAAAAGAAACAGAAATAGTAGGCCCTATTTTATTTTTGAATCTTGCATTCAGTGTTGAGGAGCAACTAACTAAAAGTAGGGATGCTACAAACTTAACTCCATTTTCATTTTCAGTGGATTTTTTTTCTAGTAACAAGCTACTTTTTTCCAACAAGTAGCAGTGAAATGGCTTCTCTGGCTTAATTTGGGAATAACATTATCATAGTATTTAAGTATGCTAGTCTGAATTTAGCTTCTCTCGTGGTGTCAGAAAGTCAGGTTCATTCAGGTTAATCGGTTCATCCTAAATGGTCCCAAACGTAGTACGGGAAAGTCGTATTCTTAAGAAAATAAAAAGTGAATCGTTCTATCTAATGAATCAGTTTGTTCAAATGGTTCTTCAGATGGTTATGATGTTTAACTACTTCAAATAATGATAAGCTTGTAGTTTGGTAAATGACAGTCTCAAAGTAGTTTCCCCAACAAATCCCTTGATGGAGTAAAATAATGCTAAAGGTAGCTAAATAAAAGATAATATTTACCTTGAGTTTATTGCTCTCGATCTTAACTGGTTTTCCCTCCTCCACCAGCAAGGTTTTGTTATGAAGAACTACGGGTGGCCTCTGATGGCTTTCCAGGTACACCTTCACATGTATTTTAACATCAAGCCGAATGTCCTTTGCTTTCACCAGGAGTGTAAAAACGTCAGCCAGATTCTTACTGTTGTCATGATGATAAGACAAGAAGCCATTCCTCAGGTCATGCTGAGTGAATGACTCAATTTTGCTGTCTTTTAAATACAGCCTACCATGTTTCGGAGCCTCCTGGATTGTGAATAATATTTCATTGTCATTTCGGATGTCAAGGTTTGTCTCTACACTAAAGTTAGCATTAGTAAGGGTTTTGATTTGCCCTTTCTGAACCAACAGGCCTGTGTTGTTGCCAGTTTTTAAATAAGCATCCTGTGCGCTAATATCCAACAGAGAGGACACATAGTGCTTGCCATCTGACACAAAGAGAACAAAACGCCCCAAGGTCATCCCATGGTGAATGAACAGCACTCGTTTCTGTTCCAAGTCTTCTTGTCGAAACTGGTACAGCTTTTGTGAAGTGTCATTTGCAAGAGCCAAGTCCCCCATTGGGATCCCACGCCGGGTGTAGAGAAGCTGCCCATCACTGAAGTCTGAATCTGCGTCATGGTAGCACAGGTCATCAAGTGTAAGTAACCTCTGTCCATTTCTGACTACATGGAAAACTTTGTCTACAATGCGGATGGGTTTCTCATCATTAACCAGCTGTATTGAGATGTTAAACATGCCTTCCTTGGAGCCAATGTCCTTATCTGTTAAAGAAAGCTTTGTTACTGGACTTGTGGAGGCTATGAAGGTAAAACTATCAAGAGTTGTTTCACTGTCATCGTGAACATACATAATACGCTCCTCAAGAATGTCTTGATTGGTAAAGGAAATAATATTGTCAAAGTCTTTGGTTGAGTTGGACAAGTTGATTCGCATTAGCTTGCCATGGTGCAGTGTCTTTGTGATTGTGTAGTACATTTCTTTAGTGCTTAGAGTTTCAGCAAACAATTCATCCTTTGTGATGAGTTTACTTTCACCTTCAAGAAGTGACAGCCCATTGTTTGTCATGAAAATGCTGTTGACATCTGCTTTAATATTGATTTTGAAAATGTGTCTAGCAGAATGTGCATGCTTTGAGAATATGTGGAAAACAAATTCATCATTGGTGTCCTCGTATGATCTTTCCATTAGTTGGTATTGGACTTTCAGATCTGTGATGTCCTTTTGACAAAATGTGGAATTTACATCCAGCTTGGCATTATTCACTTCAATTATTCCCCACTTTGGTAAAGTCAACATTCTAAAACGAAGCTCATCCTCAGACAAATTTACACCGTGTGCTGCTACATACAGATGCTCTGAGTCAATTACAGCTCTCGTAATTTTGTCCAGCTCTACAGGTTTATTTTTCTTTATTGTGTAGTCAATCCATTTTACTATTATGGTAAACACCAATTCTTCAGTAGCTCTGGAGGCCACAGTTACTTTACACTTGAAGTGGTCTGTGCTATTACTGGTTTGGATAGACTGGTAGGTGCTGAGGTACCTCAAACGCTCCTTTTCAAGAACTCTTTGGGAAAACAAATTGGTAATCTTCCATTCTCCACTTGAGTGCATCCTCTGAAGCTCACCAAATCTTGGTGGCTCAATTACATCGTACCGAATTTCAACTACCTGCTTTAATGCATTGGTCCAGATGGCCAGTTGTTTGGTGCTTAAAAGAAACATCTCTCCTTGGATCACTTCCAGTCCTGTGTTATTGGAGATTTTGTACTCAAGTCCCACAGCCATGATTCTAAGAACCACTGTGTTGCTCACCTTCTCGCCATCGCTGACTCTCAACACAATCCTAGAGTTCCTCACACCCGTGTGGACATAATACATCTTACCGTCTACAAGAGCTGAATGGGAGAAGGAAGTAACTGGTGTACCTGGATTGTCTTCATTCTCCAAATACCCTGCATCAGCATTAAGGTTCCCTAACACAGAGTAAATTAGGTCTGTGTTATTGCTGTCAATGTCAATGGCTTTCAGTACATCAGTGGTCAGCCTCTTCTTGGAGTTTTCCAAAAGGGTAAACAGATTCCCCTCAGGTAGACTCAACTCAGGGGCATCATTGGTTGGTGTAACAGTGACATTAAACCGGTACAACTTGTGTCCCTTTAGGTAGCCTGGCACGTCCTTTCTGCTACTGGAGAACACAGAGAACATGAAGAAGTCCTGTGGGTCTTCAGATCCCCCATGGATGTACATCACTCTGCCGTGCCACAAATCCAGCATGCTGAATGTATGCTCAGCCTGCTCCTGGTCTACATCAAGCCTAAGCTGACCATGCACCGGCTGCTCTTCAATCCTAAAGATGATCTGAGACTGACGGATGCCAAGCTTCTTGAAATCAAGGTTTACTTTAATATGCTTTGATTCCAAGGATCCCCGACCACCTTCTGGGACAACTAGGTTCCTAAGCTGTAAAAAATTGCGTCCGTACTTCTTGACAAGACCTTTGGCTAGGGTGGCTACATCGGTGGGTGGCAGCGGAGTGACAGATTCAACAAGGGTTATGGAAAGGGTTGTTGGGCTCACTGTGGTGCTTATATCCAGCTCCTTTTCAGGTTCACAACCAACAGAGATGTCTTTGGTTACCAAAGCATTGGGGAGACCCATTTTGACATTATTTATTTTAATGTCTCTGAAGCATCCTTTAAAGGAGCCACCTTTAATACGTTTACCTGCTACCGAGGAAAGGCCAACCTTTCTGACCTCAGAACGTGTGCTGTCATCGATTCCCCCCAGGAAAAGGGAACCTTTCAGATGAAAGTTTTTTGATCTAGAGGTAATGATGGACTTTACGCTTTCTCCATCTACTGTAAGTTGGAGGTTTTTTGGTGTGAAAAAGAGCTGAACGTTGTGCCATTTGCTGTCATTGATGAAGGTGAGGGAACGTAGCTCTGTTTTACTTCCATCTTTACCGACCATTGCAACAAGGAGACCTTTCTGGATCTCTAGAGCGACAAAATCTCCCTGTCGAGCTGCGTTGTACATGATGATCCCTTCTTCAGCTGACGTGTGGATTGAGCATTCAAAAGCCCACTCATGTTGTGCCGTCCAAGGAGGAAGGGATATATAAGCCCGTGAACTAAAAAGACTGATTGGGTCATCTTCATTGGCAAAAAACTGAGGGCTGCATCCTAGGGAAACCTCATAGACATTCTTGAACCCTGAGTAGGGCCTTAGCGATGAAAGGAGGTTGTGCTGATTAAATATTACTTCATCGAGGCAACCACGGAAACCATTGAGATCTCTGGACAGATAGGCCTGATCCAATCCTCCAGTACCACCAACATACAGGCCGCCATTGATGTGCAGCTCTCTCTCTGGACCTGGCATTCGCAGGCTCGTCTTGGAGTGGTTGTCCACAGTCAATGTGACATTGTAAATGTCATGGAAAAGCTCTGCAGTGTGCCAGGCCAGATCATTCAACTGGGTTCCACTGTCTGAGAGAAGGATCTGCTCTCCAGATCCCAGATCCAACTTTACCTGTGAATGACAGGAACAATGTAAAAAAATATATATATAAAACTTTCCTTACACAATCCTATACATAAAAATACACAGATTTACATATTTTTATAAATTATCCAGACATAACTGGGGTCCAAATACTTTTCAAATATATCTAAATTGAAAAACATTGTTTATGCTAGTTTAATACATACAACATTAAAGTAAACAGTTAATAAAATAGAATAAAATAAAATATATATATATAAATAAAATAAAGTAAATATTTCCCAGATAATTCACTTTGGCTTTAATACAGTGACAATATAAATGCCTGGTATTAAATTTTTTTAACAAAATATTGTTGTTATAATGCAATTATAACATATTTTTCTCATACAGTGCAAATGGAGAAAAATATAATGGGGAGCTAGGAGATATATTTGTAGGTAATTTAGCATCAGGAATTATACTAACAAATGTCTGCAATAACAGCAATAAATTATTTGAATTGCAAAGAAAATGTGTATGAAAACTAGCACTTTATATTCATGAAATTCTCTTCCATGTTGAAAATAGACAAGTGTAATAAATATCATCTGTCTAATAGAATAAAATAAAATATATATATATAAATAAAATAAAGTAAATATTTCCCAGATAATTCACTTTGGCTTTAATACAGTGACAATATAAATGCCTGTTATTAAATTTTTTTAACAAAATATTGTTGTTATAATGCAATTATAACATATTTTTCTCATACAGTGCAAATGGAGAAAAATATAATAGGGAGCTAGGAGATATATTTGTAGGTCATTTAGCATCAGGAATTATACTAACAAATGTCTGCAATAACAGCAATAAATTATTTGAATTGCAAAGAAAATGTGTATGAAAACTAGCACTTTATATTCATGAAATTCTCTTCCATGTTGAAAATAGACAAGTGTAATAAATATCATCTGTCTACAGCCAATACATTTTATTCTTAACATAAAATGTCACTGTCTTTACATCAGACAGCTAAGAAAAACTTGACCTGGCTTGCTGAATATTTTCTAGCCTTTTCTCAACTGAAAGCAATTATAATCTGTGATGTACTCAAAGAGGGTCACAGCCAAAGGATAGAAAATCACAATTTAATGACCTCAGATAAATGTGAGAGTTCAAAGATATTTTCAATTACAAGCAAATCGGACCTCAATGTTCAGCACAATCTGTTCTGTCGTAGCCCAAAGATATACTTCATAAAAGGAATCCTATGTCAAATGTAAAAATCCATTTCAGAAATTCATGCAAAGTTTTTGAACTGGGTTGTGGGAGTATCTAAGCCCACATTCTTCAGCCATTAAGTCAGTGCAATCACCAGGTTTGTAATGTATACCTTAAAGAAAGGTGCCGAGGCGGAAGAGTCTCAGACAGTATCATAACTAGACCATAGAATAAAATTCACCACTCCATTTCATCTGAAGAGGATGGTGATACTCCATGTGTTGAGTTTTTGTCTCAACACAAAATGCTTGTCAGTCTTTATTATCACTTTTTTTTCCTAACCAGATTCTTTTCAAGCCTAAATGGAATTGACATGTTTTCACATGTAGTTTTGTTGTGGTAGATCTAAACATTGCTGAGGGTGAAATAGCAACACGTGACTCACCTGCAGTCTGCCAGCATTCATCTCCAGCAGCAGGAAATCATTCTGCCCTGCAGCCAGGAAAAGCAGGCCGCTCAGGCTGGAGGTGCGGAAACGAATGTGCAGTGTGTTACGGCTAGACGTCTCTGACCCTTTTAACTGCACAAATCCATCACCATAGAATGAAGCTGCACATAAGAGAATATCACCCATGATGCTTGTTTTTTGGTTTTTGTCCTGAATGCTCATTCATTTCTTTGCCTTTTGTTAATGAATTTTTGTGAATTAAATGGTTTGTTAAGTATATAACGTTTTAATTACACTTTTTAACTGGTAATAAATTAATTGATTTATGAGAAAGGACATTATTATCATTCAAAGGGATTTATGCACTCTTATTCCAAACCAGCATGGTTTTCTTATTTCTGTGAAACACATAGAAATTGTTTTTGTTTTTTTTGGTCCATACATGAAAGTTAATGGGGTCCAGCATTGTTGTGGACCACATTGACTTTCATTGTATGGACAAAAAACATTTAAATTCTCTTCAGAATATCTTATTTTGTGTAAAGAAAGTACAGGTTTGTAATAACATGACGGTGAGTAACTGATGACAATTTGATAATTTCTGTGTTAACTTACCCATAAAAGTTACATTTTGATTTTGACACAGACATTAAATAAAAGTGACCGAATGAATAAAAACAACAATACTTTACAGGACAAGCCGGATGGCGCCAGGGAAGCACTGTGATACCCATGTACATGTGCTGGCATGCTCTGCCCTGACAGCACCCTGTTCTCAACATAAAAGACTCTGACATAGCCACATTGTCTTAGCCCTGCTGTCCATTGATGGAGGCCTGGACGCAGCTGTTTTCTAACCCAGCCACAGCACATCACCCTTTAATCTACACTAATGTGTTCTACACTCTCATCTACCTCTCTCTACAAGTGTCTCTATAGTATTTACACCCCTTCATTTGTATGGGCACAGAACACTTCTACTTTAGGACTGAAATGGCACACTGATGTTTAGTATAATTCTGTCAAACTATGCAAGTGTCATTACTTATTCGTGATACAAACTGCACAAATAAAATGTGATCTTTTAATGAATATTTATTCGTTTTTAAATCCTTTGTTTACAATGCTTAAGGCACCATGCAAATTTCAGTGAAGCAAGTAGCCTTATAAAATTGTGGAAACAAAAAATAGCCTAATTATGTATCATACTTCCCCATACTGGTGTAACAAAAGGCAAAGGGGCAATATCAAAACCAAACATTTTATCAAAAGTACAACTGATCTGCAACAAATATAAATGATGTTTTGATGTCAAACTTTGTGGTCAAACCTGAAATGACAGTGAGAGAGGAGAAAACAAGAATGCCATGCTATCTTTAGTTTCTTTTATCACACAAAGAGGTCCTATATCTGACATCCTGGAGATTTTATAAGTCTGGACACTGCGCTCCAAAATAAGACCACGTCTGACATCTTGATAATTCAGTGGAGTCGCTATTGTGAAGCTCAACACTGAACAACTGATGCAACAATAAAACACAATTTAGCACATTACACTAATATTCAAATATTCATGTAATTACAGGGATTTGCTGATAAAACATTTAACTCTTTAAATAATGCTGGATAGTTTATGAATTTCTCCTGTTTTGCAAGTTTTTGTTTTTTAAAAAAAAACAATACCACTTGAATAAACATGCTGGCCAACAAAATTTCATAGTGCATGCTTTAATGTTGGTGAATCACTGCATTTCGTTGTTATTAATAACTAAAAGGCTGCTTTCTGTGCCCTGACATTTGGCAAGCAGTGAATATGAAATCTCTGAGAGCCACAAATCTGTGCAATCATGAATGTTATATTATATACACAATAAACTAATGCCACATCATTTTTTAATTGTATTTATTTTTTGATTTGGGGGGCACATGCAACACTGGCAATGAACATGATTTGGATATTGAAAAGCCAACTTTAAACATGTACATTTGCACATGTTAACGTCAGCTAATGCACAAACCGCTAAAATGACAAGAACTTATATTTTCGTTACAGAGATAGCAGCCATAAGAAACAGTTAGGCTGTCTATACTGTTCTCTAGTGCACAAAACCACATAGAAACGTGATGTTTGGCGAAACTCCTAAATCGTCCACATGCTTTTGCTGAATCCCCCAACTTAAATGTTACACACACAAATGTACTTCTTTCATGCTTTACATCAGCCATACTTGAGCAGTGTGAACAACTTACCCCCTTGTGCGAGTCCGACAAAAAGCAAGAGTAGTCCGTTTAAAAGGGTCGTCCTCATTTTAACATTAAAGCAATATGATCAGTCGGCTTGAAATAAAAAAACAGTGTGTTTTAAATTCATTGTGTCACCAAATTCATGGCGACTCGTTCAACTCCTCACTTTAAAATCTTTCCACAAACTTGTGTGTTGTTCGAGCAGCAAGCGGAGAGAACTAGAGGAGAGACTCCGCCTCCTCAAGCTTTCGCTAGCCTCAGATATTTAGCCCTCACCCCGACAAACAGCACAGGTTCACGTGTAAAACAGACCGTATGTTGTACTTGGAAAATTACAGTAACTTTAGGATAAAATACAACGCAGGGGTTTCTATAGGGGAATATTATTATCTTATTATGTGAACTTCATATATCATTAAAGCTTGACTGGAAGTGTGTGTGTGTGTGTGATTTTTTTTATACAACTTGACTTGTAATACAATTTTAATGTAATTGAAAACGTACTAATTCGCATTTTTATAAATAACATCTCGTAGTTTTAGATTAACAACAAGGACTACGTAAAATCTACACATTATGCATTTGGAAAAATAGCAAAAATATTATAATTATGAAGCCAAGGCAGAGTGAAACGTTCACGTTGGTTTATTATGGTAGAATGATACGTTGAATAATATCATAAAATTGCAAATAAGGATGAAACAATCTAAATTAATAATTATAATATACGTGTGTTGATTGGACAGCAGCAGGAAAATAATTTTAAATGACAAGCACTGAAACCAATGAAAACACTTATCGCCGCTAGAACGGTTTGTTTATGTTCTGAGGTAAATAATTGTAATAAGAGAACAGCCTTTAATACTAGTAAACGTTCAAATACACTAATACAATCCATTTTATACATCCTCGTTTTTAGATAAATGGGGACGTTAGATGTTTATCTAAACGGCATGTGTGTTTGAGTTGGCATGCAAATTTATCCCGCCCAAGTGAGCCAACGAGCCAATAAGAAACACCGTTTGGCTGAGTCTGCACATGCTAGTAGAAGTAGTCAGGAAGCTGATGCACTGAATGCATCCAGCTGGACATACGGGACACTGGTATGTCATCTGCGGGTGATCCGCTCTGACACAATGCAGTCTTTGCACCACTGATGTTCTGTTTTCAGTACAGAACATTCTGTTTGTTTAACCATCCTTTAGTATGTTGCTGAATCCAAGATGCAATCATTATGTAACAGATGCGATGTCCACTTTATTTTGCCCTGCTTGCGTCTTTACGAATCTTTTTTACGTTTCGAGGAAAATGTTAATGGGAAAGTCTTGCTGTATACTGTGCATCTAACAAGAGCTAAGTTGTTAGAGACTTTACATTATGCACATTGTTGTGGTTCTCTTCGATATCAGTAACTCATGACATGCCTTTATGTATATTTAAAACGTGATTAATCTTTCCGGTGTATCAGAGAAAACAGCACTGTACAGTACAGTCACTCTCTTATATGATTCTATGCATACATTATATGTTTGTACATGTTACAATTTCTGTTCTCTTGCTACTCCAGGTATTAGAACTAAAAATACAGCTTAAAAATTATGTAAGTATTATGTTAAATAATGTCAGCATACATGAATCATAAATGGTGTTTGGGATCAATAATGTTTCTCTTTAAGAAATTAATACTTTTATTCTGCAAGTTCTTTTCAACTTTTTATTCTTAAAAGAATCCTAAAAATGTATTGAGGTTTCCACAAAAAAAATCATCCGAATGGTTTCTAAAGCATCACGTGACACTGAAGACTGGAATAATTGCTGCTGGAAATTCAGTTATTCTTAAAAGAATCCTAAAAATGTATTGAGGTTTCCACAAAAAAATCATCCGAATGGTTTCTAAAGCATCACGTGACACTGAAGACTGGAATAATTGCTGCTGGAAATTCAGAAAAAAAAAAACAGTTGTTGTTTTAAATTGTAATAATATTTGACAGTATTGCTGTTTATAGCTGGCATAAAAAATAGCATGTTAGTATCGTTTTAAAATAATGTCATACAACATAGAAGATTGTAATATTACGCCCTGCTGTAATACCAATCCCCAGATCTTTTTGTTTTGTTTCTTTTTTTCTGTTTCAGGATTGCGTTGAAGTGCTATTTCTCTCTTCCGGTGGTGGCAGGGGCATTATTAGTGGTCCTTCCTTACAGTATCTCTCTAGTTGCCCAATGGCTCTATGGCTGGCCCAATAAACCAGGGTACCAAAAATATATAGAGGCTCTCAAACCAAGGTGACATAGCATAGCATTAACATTTTGATGTTACTGTATTTTTATAGTTGGCTTTTTAATGATGCAGATGTTTCTTGCACTCCCTGCAGGCGCATATACTGCCTTGCAAGAGCCGTGCTAGAGATGCTGAAATATCTGCAGTATGGCAAACTGTACTTTCAGTGGAAACTGTGGTACAGTAATGACAAAAATAACAAGCACTATGTGAAAGTTAGTTCAGTTTTTAAATTCCTGTTAATGTGGTTTACTTGCTATGCTATGCAGTACTGAGATAGAGTTTTTAAGAAACAAATCTACTGTTCAATTTAGGACAATAATAATTCTTTGTATTACTAAAATGTATTGTAACATTAAAATGAAAAAGCACTTGTCCCTTTTTATTATACTACAGCAGTGGTTTTTAAACCGGTACTACGAGCAGCCGAGCACCACAAGCACTGCACATTTTCTGTGTCTTTCTCATCTATCACTCCTGATTCAACTCATCAGCTCATTAGTAGAGACTGCAAGACCTGAAATGGATGTGTCAGATATAGGGAGACATGCAAAATCTGAGGTGCTAGGGGTGCTTGCAGGACTGGTTTGAAAACCACTGTTTAAAATGTATTGTAACATTAAAATGAAAAAGCACTTGTCCCTTTTTATTATACTACAGCAGGGGTTTTCAAACCGGTACTACGAGCAGCCGAGCACCCCCAGCACTGCACATTTTCTGTGTCTTTCTCATCTATCACTCCTGATTCAACTCATCAGCTCATTAGTAGAGACTGCAAGACCTGAAATGGGTGTGTCAGATATAGGGAGACATGCAAAATGTGAGGTGCTAGGGGTGCTTGCAGGACTGGTTTGAAAACCACTGTACTACAGTATTTGATTGTGCTTCTGTCCTTTCTTAGGGCATAACCTTTGGTCGACGAGGGAACAAACTAGATTTATATTATTCACCAAGCATGGGCCATTCTGATACTGCTCCTGTACTGGTGGTTGTGTTTGTGTATGGAGGTGCCTGGGGATCAGGAGACCGCTCCATTTACTGTCTGTTAGCCTTACAAATAGCAAAAGAGCTTAATGCCTCTGTACTTTGTCCAGATTATTCCATATATCCAAAGGTAAGCCACCATTATATTATACATTATATATTTAATATTGATATTTTTTGTGTGGATTTCTTTTTTCTTTTTTCAAATTGTTTGTTGTGTTTTTAGGGAAATGTTTTAAATATGGTTCAAGACATCAGTGACAGTTTGCTGTGGGTGAGAGAAAAGGGACAAACATTCAATCTTGATCAAGTAAGTTTCCAGTCCTCCATGAATGTAAACTATAAGTTGTTAATATTGCATTACAAATGCCACTTTAGTTTGACAAGTGCTTGTACTATACACTACCATTCAAATGTTGGGGGTCAATATGATTTTTTTCTGAAAGAAATGAATACTTCTATTCAATAGACAGGTGTGTGGTTTTCCTAATCAAGTCCAATCAGTATATTCAAACACAGCTGGACTCAAATGAAGGTGTAGAACCATCTCAAGGATGCTCAGAAGAAATGGACAGCACCTGAGTTAAATATTTGAGTGTCACAGCAAAGGGTCTGAATTCTTAGGACCATGTGATATTTCAGTTTTTCTTTTTTAATAAATCTGCAAAAATGTCAACAATTCTGTGTTTTTCTGTCAATATGGGGTGCTGTGTGTACATTAATGAGGAAAAAAATTAACTTAAATGATTTTAGCAAATGGCTGCAATATAACAAAGAGTGAAAAATGTAAGGGGGTCTGAATACTTTCCATAGCCACTGTATATATATATATACATTTAGATAAATGCTGCTCTTATATGATGTTCTCTTTCTCTCTATAACTACTGTATTTCAGTAGCAACCATTTTCAACTGATCATAATAAGAAAAGTTTCTTGAGCCCCAAATCAGCATATTAGAATAGCATGGTTTTGTGAGCATAAAAGAGCATAAGAGACTTCTTTCAAAAACTTTAAAAAAAAAAACTCTCTGCCCCCAGACTTTTGACCGGTAGTTTTTATTTTCCACGTGTTATTTTGTAAGTGATATAACAATTTGATCTAGGCTATACTTTTTTCATGCAGGACAACATAATATTAATAGGTCATTCAGCAGGGGCTCATCTGTGTGCCCTTTCCACACTGTTTCTGGTGAACAGTGCAGAAGAGCTGTTCATTGAGACCAACATACAGAGAGATCTTGTATCTGCCATTAAAGGAATCATAGGTAAATCAAAGTGCCATGTTTATTATATGTGGCTATTATACAATGATTGTTTATAATTTAGCATAGCGGTTTCCCTGTTGATGTAACTGGTTCTTAGTTGAACTAAACTTGATTTAGTAACTTGGATTTCATTCATGTTGTGATTATTATTTGTTTTTTTGTAATAGGTTTCATTATAAGCATGAGAAAATGCGGGCCGTTGAGTATGTATCAACTATGCACAAAGCTATGGATGGTGTGGAGAACTTTGATTATTATTCACCAACATCATTACTCAAGAAATTGAATGAGGATCAGTTGAAACGGTATTGTTATTGTTATTTCTATTCACATATTGTCAGTGTCCAACAGCTGAAGCAGCAACACATTAACTTGTATGATTTGTTTCATTATAGTAAATTATTTAAATAAGATGTTACTGTTATATAAGGTCAATATTTTCATCTGTGTGCTACTGTAGTGCCATTACCGGCCAACTTGTTAAATTACAAATGCAGTTTACCAAGTAAAGGTCACTAGCGGAGTACAGAGAGATACAGAATACAGTGAGGCTGTTGAAAGAAGCTCTTTGTGCTTTATCATTTGCTATGGTTTTCATGCAGAGTTCCTCCAGTGGCTTTGCTCCATGGAACCAGTGACATGATAGTTCCGGTGGAATCATCAGTGAAGTTCTCTGAGCTCCTCACAGCCCTTTCTATCAGGATGTCTCTCGATCTAATACCTAAAATGAACCACACAGAGATGGTCACTGACCTTATGGCTCCAGACAGGCACTTTTACCATACAGTTTATGGCTGTATTAAACAGGAGTACAGTAAATTTCAAGGTTATGCTGATTAATAATTTTCATTCAATTATTTTCTAATATCATTTTCCATTATGCCAGTCACTCATTATATGTTATCTATGTATTTACTGTAAGTTTACATTCACGTTCTAATGATTTCTTCTGAAATGTTTAATTTTCAATCTAAAATGTGTTCAATAAGCCGTTATATAAGATGGAAAGATGAAAGAAAACAACCTCTGTGCTTGTTATCTGTTAATAAACTCTGTTAATGTTTAATTAAATATAAAAAAAAATCCAAACTAAGACAAAGAATAAATAAATATAAATATACTACAACATATGTTTGTGTTTGAAATGTAATATGGATGGAGAAATTCTTACATTGCATTTTTATAACTTGTGTAAATGTTTCCTTAATATATTTATGTAAATAATACATAATTGTTTCTTTTTGTGTCCTAATTACTTAATTATTTGTTTGTTACATATTCACAGTTGATACCATATTAAATAACATAAGCTTCAGCTGTGCATGCTATAGAAATATTATTGATTTATGTCTGCCTTTGTCTTTATTAGAATAAAATGTTGCTACCAAGAACACAATAATGTTCATATTTGGGTGCTGAGACTGAACCATTGACTATTCACCTCCTAAGTATACCGCTCCTTTATGTGGGGGCATACGCTTAAAACAGTTATCTTAGGAGTATAATTCAGTTAACTGGACAAAACTAGCACACAGAGCACAGGTATATGATCTATGATAATCGGGAAACATTAAATATGCATACATGTATACTAATTCAATACATTTATATATTGATTGCACTGGAACTGTAACATCCACATCAGCATCATGTAAAATTGACATTCCTTTCTTCTTTTACTGCTGTGGCAGTCAAGTACATTAAACACATACTATAAATACCGCCAGACTGACTTGATTGTTATTATCTTGATTGCTGACCAGAGGCAAAAAACGAAACGTGCACCTGCATCATTATGACCAGCAGGTGTCGCTGTTTCCCGTGTAATCCAAGCGCTACAGCGAGCCCTGTGAGGCAGCGTCTCCCACACCGCTGAGATGAAGTGGAGCTGGAGCTGGGACGAGCTCGAGCCTGTGTTGTTTGGGATGTCGAGGATTAAATATGGCCACTAGCTAGCTGATCTAACAGAACCAGTATCCGCTTCAGAAAGCACTGGCATCACCCTTGAAATATGGATGGGAAGAGCGCAAGAGGATCTCTTTAGAGCGGCTCTCAGTGAAGCTTGAAGACATCGGCTGGTCTGGTGAGTTCTCATGGATATGCGGATACACTGGAGACATACACGCAAAACACATACACGCTGCCCACTGGCGCTAGCTTCCCTCCTTTAAAATACAGCTTCCTTTACCCGTTTTTACATCTTTCTAGAAATGTCAGGATGTTATTCGCATTATATAAATGATATCTTATGCAGTCCAGCTTTGTGAAAATGAAACGCACAGTTCGGCATGGATCGGTTGTGTGTAGCCGGGGTAGCTGTGGCTCGCTAGGAGGACTCCGCTAGCCTGTTAGCTGCAGGCGAATAATCATTCATGCGGAGACAATTCACAAATACGATCCTTTATTATTATAGACCTCGAGCTAATCATATGCGTGATTATTATGACTTATTTTGAGGTTATTTAGGCGATGTCTGGTGAGCTGTAATTGTCTTGAAAGCTCGCACTGTGACTGAAAATGATCGACTCATCTACGACTGTAAGTTACTGCATTTATTTGTGGTTCCTGTCGGTTTACAAGAATCCCAACATAATATAATAAATATATTATAATATAACAATATAATTCTGAATAGCCTTTTTTATATTACTGAACTCCTCGCTTGTGTCATTTTCCTGTACTTAGTTTACATGGTCATTACTTATATTCTAATTTATGGGTTTAGTATTTTATAAATTGCGTGTATTGTGTATAACGTAGGTTTCTTACCTTTCTGTGTTTATTATATGTGAAAAACTACTGTACAGTGTTGACTGTCTGGCTGCTAATTTACACAAATTTCTCATACTGAATCAGTTTGTCTGTCACAAGGCAGACGTTTCATGGAAGTGTAACTGTAATCAATAGGATATTACTGAAATTATGAATATTATTTCTGTCTGTTTCTCTGTCTATTATATATATCTATGACTAGACATACAGCGAATAACATTAGACATGGACACTCATTAAGGCTGCAACTAATTCCAATAATGTCATAAGTTGTGATATGAAGGCTGTGGTGATTTATTGGGACACAGTGTGATGGTGAAGTGCTGGGCAGCTGCGTCAGGTGAGAGGTCATGGACTCATGAACAGCGGTGTGTGGCCTTGACACCTCCAGGGTGCTAATTTATATGCCATTTAATTTGTGTGTTTTGGTGAGGGTATGCAGAGCTGTGAATAAGATTAGAGATGGGCTGTGATTGTGGTTTTATTGTATAAACAACCCACCCGTTTGTATTGTGCAAGTCATTGAACCTGTGCTTTTATCCCAGAGCCATCATAATATTGGCTTGCGGCCATATCAGTCACACATTACCTAAATTGCTCCTCTTTAGAGGCTATAATCCTGTTTTTAATGTTATCTTTCCTATTAAATCTTGTTTGACTTATATTTGTTGTCGGTCAAGCTCTTTCGCAAACCTGTGATTTTTTTTTTTTTCTTTATGTGTGTCACAGTTCTGTTCATGTGTTCATTTTACTTTTAAAACTTAGCCTAGCAGAGCTGTGAATAAGATTAGAGATGGGCTGTGATTGTGGTTTTATTGTATAAACAACCCACCCGTTTGTATTGTGCAAGTCATTGAACCTGTGCTTTTATCCCAGAGCCATCATAATATTGGCTTGCGGCCATATCAGTCACACATTACCTAAATTGCTCCTCTTTAGAGGCTATAATCCTGTTTTTAATGTTATCTTTCCTATTAAATCTTGTTTGACTTATATTTGTTGTCGGTCAAGCTCTTTCGCAAACCTGTGATTTTTTTTTTTCTTTATGTGTGTCACAGTTCTGTTCATGTGTTCATTTTACTTTTAAAACTTAGCCTAGATCATTTAGGAAGTATGTAGAAAATGTGGCTGCTGAAATGTATGTGAAATTATGAGGGTGTATTGCTTGATATTGTCTCGTGCAGTGGACTTCACAGGGTATTTGACCATCTTAAGTCAGATTAGCAGTGAGCAATAATGTTCAGTTTGGCATAGGAAGCAAGTGTACACCGATATATCACTTTGCAGGAAGTGGAGGGGGAAATTTACGCACCACATACTCTATGGCTCTATTGGCTAAAATAAACAGTGAAAAGGAGTTGATGCTCTGGAATTTTTATTCAACTTGATTAACCTCATGTGCGGCTGTTTTCAGGTATAAAACACATTTGATACAACAGTTACAATGCTGCTAGTATGATTATGGGTCTCAAAACAAAAAGAGCCATTTAGGCTGTGTCCACATTAATCCAAATAAAACTGAAAACACATGTTTTTCAATACATTTAGGCCTTTTGCCCACACTACAGTGTTTTTGTCAAAAATAAATAAATAAAATAAAATTGAAAACACAGTTTTCATGTTGTAGTTAATGGAGGCATTTGAAAAAGTTGACACATGTTTAGTCATGTAATGTTGTATGGTATAATAATGTTTAGTCATGTAATGTATATTGTACCGTGCCTGCTATTCACTTGAATAATATTACGAAGGACAAATGTTACTTTCTGCACAATCTTCATATGACATTTCTGCAAATATGACAGAATATACACTAGCAATTGCTGTCCTGCAGCAAAAGAGGATGACAAATGTGTTTTAGACCAAACGTGGAATGTTTATGTGAATGTTTTGAATTTGCAAATGTGGACATAGCCTTGGTTTCATATTAAACATGGCAAAAAGCATTTATTACAAAAATGTAGAGCTCTCTAGTATGACTAATCAGATGCATTTGAATATTTAATAAGCTATTTTTTATAGCAGTACACCGGAATCTATTCACTACTTTACATTTCTGTATGTGCATACTAAAACATTGTGGGAAGTGTTTTTTGTCATGTGCTCCGTGTGGAATGAGCGGTGAATCAGCACACAGCATAGGTCACAGATTACACGTGTGATATTTTACACAATAAAGACTTCAAGCTAGTGTTGCCTAAATGACGTTGGTGGAAACTTGACTCACATTGTATGCAAAGAATTTAGCCAAAGTATTTTCTCTCATGATTCAGTGCCAGTGAAAACAAGTCACCTGGTCAAGCATCAACTGTGCTTTTTGAGGAAAGATTATCTTAATTGAAGACGTCATGAGCTGGTTTTGATCTTTATTTCTTTAGACTGTTACCCAGTGCTTTGCTGCAATCAGATTTTCTCTGTTTGTGGTACTATTGTTTTATCTATTTGAAAATAGCCTCGATTTGAATCTACGGCGGTGTCTTGTGTTTGTACTGGATTGTAGATGTTGGATAGTCTGTTTGTGTTATTTCAGTCTTCAGTACACAGTGTGTATATCCTCTGAATCAGATGACTGACTTCCCCCTTTCAAGATATCCAGAGCTCTCTCCTATGTGGACTAGAGAGATTTATAAGTTAACCCTGATCGATTATTATTATTTTTTTTTACAGTGTGATCCTTTCATAACCACCATCTGCTCTTTAAATGTTATCGACGGATCCCCCTGTACTGCCGATTTGGTATCTCCTGGTATGACACTGGTCACCCCCGCATGATAAAGCCACGTGGTAGAGCTGGTGACAGGGAGGATCGGCTGTGCCAGTCACTGCAGGCTGCTTGGCTCTCTGGTGCACAGGTCTCCTGGCAGTGCCAGCGAGGAGCATAAATCGGCGCTCGCTCCCACAGCGTCCTATAAGTGCTCTGCCTTCTTTCTTTTTCCTAGTCGGCAAGGCACAGATTACCAACGATTATTTTCTCACCAATCTTTGGATCGAAATTGCGTCGGGTAACAACAAGGGATGCTCGCAGAGCACAGGGAGAACAGCAGGTATGGAAAAATAAAACATGTTTGATCAACGTGTCTCCATAGTGACAAGGCGTTTGTTTACAGTTTGGAGCCTTGTGTCATGGATTTATTTGCTGCAATGATGGTCTTGAAATTGCTTCTTACTTTCTGCTGAGGATCCTAGCAGCACTTCGCTTAGAGAATCACACATTTTTGGAATCCACGTGAGATTCGTGTATGCACTGTCATAGTTTTTATGTAATTAAAGGCTGTGGAAGGTAAAACAGATGAGTAGGCAAATGGCAGATGGTGAAATGATGGTGCCGTTCTTCCCGAAGGAACGATAATGTGGAGCAACAAGAGGTTGCTGTGAGTTTCAGATGTAAGAAAGGGTTATTTCTCTCTTTTTTGTTTGAAGTAATAAGCATCTTACATCAGGCATTGTGGGCGTAAATGATTTCTTCTCTGCTTCATCCTGGCAGTCATCCTTTTTTTCTGAGAATTGTAAATTTTTTTTTTGGAAGGCACCTGGTTTCTGGCTGTTTGTTGCGAATCAGGTCAAGACATGTTTGAAACCAAGGGCTTCATTAGACTCTGACTCATTCAACACTGCGATTTTCACAGAAAGGGCTCTTGATTTCAAAATGTGTAGATTTGAGTGTGGGGGAACCAGTAATGTTGGTTAATATTTGGATTATTATTTTGGATCGTGTCACTTCAGCTTGTAGCTGTTCATAGCCATTACATCACCAGTTTATGTGTGCTCCACCCCAGAGTTGTAAAAGAGTTAAACAGTGAGTTACTGACTGTGACGAAGATTTCCGTTAAAGGGGTCATATGATGCAATTAAAATTTTTCATTTCTCCTTGGAGTGTTACAAGCTCTTGGTGTATAAAGAAGATCTGTAGAGTTGCAAATACTAAAGTCTCAAATCCAAAGAGATATTCTTTATAAAAGTTAAGAGTCAACCACGCCTACCTAAAATGGCTCGTTCTAACACGCCCCCACATATCTACGTCACTATGTGGGAAGATTTGCATAACGCCGTTTAAATGTTCACGCAAAGAAAGAAAGCGTAACTTTTATTCTTGCTGTAGTATTGTTGCTGCTGCGGCCGCCATGTTGTGGAGACGCTGTGTGTTTCGTTGTGAAAGCGAAACTACTTTGTTTGGCCTTCCAAAAGAGGACGATATCCGCTTTGTCATGCCTAGAGCTGATCCGTGCTGGTCGCTGAGGAAATACATCAACTTCGCGCTGTGGATCGCCGGATCGGCTTTCACCGTGGACGAAACGGAGTCCAGCCTGGGGTCGTCACATGTGGTTGCCGCAAGGCCTTTCTACACTCTAGCCTGCCGGCCTCCACTCACTCTAGCCGCCGGCCGCCGCTCACTCTAGCCCGCTGTATGTGACGCTGGGTGTTTCGCTGTGAAAGCAAAACTACTTTGTCTGGCCTTACAAAAGAGGACACGACTAGAAATCAGTGGTTAAGTTGTATTTACAACACTGTTCCAGAACACTTCAACTCAAAATATTCAGATGTGTGCAGCGCATTTTATGGAGGACTGTTTCCTGAACCTGGCAGAGTAGACTACAATGCCGGCTGTTCTGACTCACAGACTGTAAGTAAGTTTTCATATTTAAAAAATTTGCCACTGATGATTCAAACGCGAGTTTTGAGCAGTGTAGAGTAGCGTTTGTCGTTTCTCCGAACACAAATGCAGACATGGTTTTATGTTTACGCGGCGTGATACGCAACACACAAAAAAGACAGTATAATCATTATAATCCGTAATTATGTCCCCACTGGATGCAACAAATGCCTCGTTTATAATGGGTTTTAATGTTTTTGCCTCGTCACTCCGGCCGGACAGGGCATCACAGTATAGTAGGGGCGTAACATTTCCGTCACACGCTTGAGGTATTCAGCCAATCACAACGCACTGGATAGCTGGCCAATCAGAGCACACCTCGTTTTTTAGACCGATGAGCTTTGTAAAAAATCAACGCGTTTCAGAAGGCGGGGCATAGAGAAGAAACAATAATGTACAGTATGTGGAAAATAATGTGTTTTTTGAACCTTTCATTATACCAAATACACTAAATAATGTTATTTTTAGCAACATCATATGACCCCTTTAAATGTGGACTTATACTGTGGACAATATCTTTGTTCAGGTATAAAATGACCTTAAATACTGTGGTTTCAGAGTCTAGATAAGTTAATTGATAGTTGTTAATCATTAGGTTGAATGCTAATTACTGTTACCTTGCCTGCATGATGTCATCTGTGGTGTGAAATGAATTACACAGGAGACTTACTATACTTCAATTACAAAAAATAACTGCTTTGCAACTTTATTCTTAGTCAACTTTTGCGTTAGTACTGATTTTATTGAATGTTGCATCTCTTATTGTATTGATATATTTCTTGTGCCGTGCACTGCACTGTTTTTGCACTTGTATTACACTTTCTGGTTGAGTCTTGAGGGGTAACATTTCCGTCACACGCTTGAGGTATTCAGCCAATCACAACGCACTGGATAGCTGGCCAATCAGAGCACACCTCGTTTTTTAGACTGATGAGCTTTGTAAAAAATCGACGCGTTTCAGAATGCGGGGCATAGAGAAGAAACAATAATGTACAGTATGTGGAAAATAATGTGTTTTTTGAACCTTTCATTATACCAAATACACTAAATAATGTTATTTTTAGCAACATCATATGACCCCTTTAAATGTGGACTTATACTGTGGACAATATCTTTGTTCAGGTATAAAATGACCTTAAATACTTTGGTTTCAGAGTCTAGATAAGTAGTAATTTGTTAATCATTAGGTTGAATGCTAATTACTGTTACCTTGCCTGCATGATGTCATCTGTGGTGTGAAATGAATTACACAGGAGACTTTTACTATACTTCAATTACAAAAAATAACTGCTTTGCAACTTTATTCTTAGTCAACTTTTGCGTTAGTACTGATTTTATTGAATGTTGCATCTCTTATTGTATTGATATATTTCTTGTGCCGTGCACTGCACTGTGTTTGCACTTGTATTACACTTTCTGGTTGAGTCTTGAGGATTAGTCATAGTGCTTGACTTGTATTAATAAACTAAATATTTGAGGGTATATGCATTTTCTTGTAAGTCGCTTTAGTTCAAAAATATCTTCCAAGAACTTAATTGTAAATGGGGTAGTTAGTTGTTAATGGTACATCTGTTATGAAATGACAATTCCTACAACCTGTAATAGTACATTTTAAAAGTAAAGGTTATGTTGTTGATGATGATGAAAGAAATTTATACTTTTATTTATTTAATTAACCAAAAGTGACTATAAAGTAATTTATAATGTAACAAAATATTGTTTTATTTAAATAAATGCTGTTCTTTTAAACTTTCTGTTCATCAAAGTAGGGCTGCACGATTAATCGAATGCTATTGTCATGCGCATCTTGTCAGTAAAGCCGGTTCTGTGATTAGTAGTAAATCTCCATCACGTGCTTTCAGATGGAGCAGCATTTACTACTAGGGCTGGGTATCGAGTTCGATACTTTTTAGGGACCGACCGAATTGCCTCGATACCATAGAGTATCGAAAAACGTCTTGTTGTTCGGTACCAAATTTCGATACCTAAGGGGTTAATCTCATCAACGTCAGTGAGCCAATAAGCCTGCAGCACTAGCCGGTGTGTTCGACTAGAAGAAGTGCGGCGCAGATCGATCATCCGCGAGAGCGATTCGAAAGCGCACGGAGCAGTCTGCTCTCTTTAGCTCTCGTGGTACTGTAATACCACCAGTATAGAGTAGCGTGGGAGCTGCGTGGAGTTCCGATCATATGCAGATGTCCATTCATACTAACGTTACACGACCGAAAGCGCGTGTTATGTGACCATTCATGCAAACTGTAGCATCATGCTAACTTACATAAGACAATAAATAAGATTTATATTCCGTTTTTACTCAAAACTCACTTTAAACCA